GTTTATTAGTGATCCATTTCGAACTTCCTTCCTTCCTTCCTTCCTTCGTTACTTACTTACTTACTTACTTACTCACTTACTTACTTACTTACTTACTTACTTACTTACTTACTTACTTACTTACTTACTTACTTACTTACTTACTTACTTACTTACTTACTTACTTACTTACTTACTTACTTACTTACTTACTTACTTACTTACTTACTTACTTACTTACTTACTTACTTACGCCTGTTACTCCCAATGGAGCATAGGCTGCCAAATAACATTCTCCAATCCACTTTGTTGTGAACCTTCCTTTCTAGTTCTATCCAATTGTTGTTTATTCTTCTCATATCTGTCTTCATTTCTCAGTGTAATGTGTTCTTTGATCTTCCTCTTCTCCTTTGGCCTCGAGGATTCTAAGTGAGGGCTTGCCTTATGACGCAATTGAGTGTTTTCCCCAATGTGTATCCTATCCACTTCCATCGCTTCTTCTCGATTTCTTCCTCCACTGGTATCTGGTATGTTCTCTCCTACAGTAGGTTGTTACTGGTAGTGTTTGCTTAGGCAACCGTTAATAAACACTTATGCCTTCTGGATGATAGCTTCTGTAGTTCTCCAAGTTTCCACCCCATACAATGAGAAGACATAACCAGAGGAATTCAGCTATGTCCAGTGTAAGGCAGATATCTATCAACATTTCTGAAAAATGTTTAAGTAATATCATGAATAGACTGAAATTTTTCTTAAAAACATTAAATTATTGAATGTCGGTTTAGTAGCTTACAGGTTATGTGCTATTTACGAGACTTAAATAGTTCAGGTTAGATTCACAATAAGATCATGAGTGTACATTGGTGAGGTAGTTCACCACTAACACTATATAATTGTCTAATGTTTTCTAGTTATGACATTGAGATCATTGACATATGTTACATAATATTTGTTATAGTGATTAGTAAACATTATACTGTTAAATAGGTGGGGCATTTGACAAATAACTTGAAGAAACATGGATGAAAGTCATAGAAAAACTGTTTCTCCAATAATTTATGAGATAACATGATTGTATAATGTTATTTTATTAAACTAGTTTTCTGTACAATCCAAATTATTCTTCTTTCATTTATCGATAATAAGCTGTTTGTATACTGTCATTATTATTATAAATCATATTCGATTAAATAAATACTGAAAATTAGATAATGCGAGATATTACTATCCACTAACGGGATGAATATCAGTAAGGGTTGATAAATTCAATACTGACTAGTAATTAACTGGGGTGATAATTTCTTGAGAAAGGAACTCCATAATCTTTAGATCTAATCAATACGAGATAAAGATCGTCGGGTAGTGAACGAGAACACAAGTGGGGACAATCGAATGTATTTGAATACAAAATTACAGAACATTTTAATTAGAATCGGAGAACCATATAGTAAGTACTTCATTTGTAAAATGTCAATCAATCGTCTCAGTTTTCATTGCTTTTCGATTTCACACTAATCATTTTTTGTTCTCGTTCTCTTTTCTTTGATCTTCCTAACCTTCTGCTACCAGGCATTTCGCTTTCGATTGGTGAGACATACCAATAACATCTGTCAACATCAGTAGCACATACCAGTACTACTGGATAAAGATTACTTTGTATCAACACGAACGAAATTCTAAAACTTAGAAAACTGAACTCTAATTTTATCCCTGTATATGATATCGTACTCACTGAAAGTGTAACAAATCAATTTCTTGAATAAATTAAAGCATTCCATCATTTAGAGTTATTTCAATAATTTGTCTGAATGAAAGACATTATGACACATGTATCTTAAGTCAGAAATGTATATCGCTGATTTCATTATCAGTTAATGAGGATTATTATTAAAACATTAAATAGAAAAATTTTCATCAACTATGATAAATTTTGATGGAGTTTTGTTCTCTGAGCTAGATGGTTTGGTCTTTGAGCTTTCATCGTTCTTCTGAACGACATCATCAGCATACACTTCAGCTAGAAGTGAAGTTTGTGCTGATGATGTCGTTCAGAAGAACGATGAAAGCTTCATGACTAAACCAACCAGCCCAGAGAACAAATATCCATCAAAATCATCCACCTGAGCTGAAAATCTTCTCGGCCATCTTAAAAACTATGCTAAACTTCTGCTCTTAAAAGAACAAACATTTTATATTATGTAAATAAACAATTTTATTGCGAAAATATTTTTAAAAAAGCAGACACTTGAAAATCCTAATTTTCTACAAATTTTGCTGGTTAGTTTTTCATAGATTTTTTTTTCACAGTAAACATAACTGATAGTCTGTGTGTAGAGGTTTCTTTAGAACTGAATATAATGAAATTCTTTGAAAAATCCATTCTTTACCACAATCTTGGATAACAATTGTAAGATTAACTTGATCAAATATTTCGAATTTTCCTATTTTGAGGAAACTTTGAGTAAATTTGAGGTTTTCCCTAAAGTTGTGAAAAGTTTGGTAGTTTTCCATAAAGTGTTAAAAAATTCTGGGGAAATATTTAGGAAAACTCAAAATTTCCCCAAACATATTTGGGTTAATCTCCAGACTTGAGGAAATTTTTGGGCTATTGTGCCATTTTCTCAGAATCACCGCAAAACAGACAAAATTGTTCCCTAAAATAGGGAGATTGGGTCCATTTATAAATGTAAGTTGTCGATGTTTAGTGGGGTTCTCCCCTTTTACATCAATTAGACCGTACGATGTTGTCGGCGGGTTCTCCACTTTAGTGACCCGAGATCTGACTCCAATTTGATCGTATGAATGGTTGTTATTGAAATATATATGTCGCCTAACCTCGTATATAATCATCGACTCAAATCGCGTTAGTCAATAACGAAATTAAGTAAGTCAAATAACGAGAATGTACTTTTGAATACATATATTTTGTATATGAAGCGAACGGAATAAAGCCAAGCGACGGGTAAGCCAACTCCATTTAGTCAAACGTTAATCAATATTTATGGTCACACAAAAGTAAGTTACAGAAATGTGCTGAGTAGGATAAGAAATGTACCCACGTATGCGAATAATTAACAAGGTCAAAATATGACTCAAGTAGAATGAATAGATTAACCTGTTTGAAAGCCAGAATAAAGTATATGAGCTTAACATAATAACCGACACTACAGATGTATAAATTTAGGTAAGCATATGTCATTAGTAGATGATCCTTTGAATAGTTCAATTCCACGTTCATAGGTCCACGAGTTAAAATTGGATTTATTATGATATAATATCTTTTCATATTATCTTATTTTGAATATGCATCAACTTATGATTCTCTGTATTACTTAAAACAGTAAGGGGTATCAAGAATATACGCATTTATCAGTTTGTTCCCTGATTCATTCATCTAAAGGCAAGATTTGATGACTTGATAAATCCTTTTAGTAAAGGGTTTTTTTATAAACATTGTACAATGTACAATATTTTTGTTGTTTGAATGACTTAACAAGGAGAGATCTGTTTAAAAAGTATAGTTTCAGTAATATTTCCTGGTTCATGTAACTATTTTTAGGTCATTTTTTCAAAATTCAATACATGAGTACACTAATCTAAACAATTATACACAATAGGACAAAATAGCCATCCAGTATTTCCAGGTTTTCCATGGTGATTTAACTTCAACTGACTCATGATCTCAACAAATGAAATAATACATCTTATCATGTATTCAATAATTTACAGTCTATGGAGTTATCCACTATTTAACTCATTCTACTAATTTACAGACAGTTTATCTTCTTCGATTGAGATCATGAACCGATTGATGTTAGACCGCCATTGAAAACCTGGAAGCACTAGACGGCAGGATCGTGGATGCGCACTGCTGAGAATTCCCACAATAGGAAGAAACGGCCGTCCAGTGCTTCTAGGTTTTCAATGGTAGTCTAACATCAATCGGTTCATGATCTCAATCAAAAACTTAACAATCTCCACAACCCCTAAACTGATAGATAGTTTATCCATTCATTAAATAAGCTAACCAATCAGAATTCAGTTGTTGTTTTTATTTCTTAAAACATTGACGGATATTATCCTAATATGAGATAGAATAAAAATATACGCGTCAATGAATACAATGAAATGAGATAGGTAAATAGGTAGAAAGACAATAGACTAGTGAATTTCTTTATATAAAACTATACAATATATATGTGAACGTATGTATTTACAATATGAAGGGATAAATACAATACTGTATTATGAATGCCAATAAGCCATTTTTTGTTTCTTTCATAATATTCAAATAAAATTTATACCTTATTTGTCTATGAACTAATATCTATGATTTGTCATTCTTTGTTTTTCCAATCACATACCTTATGGATACATATATACAATCTAGTGAATACGCCTACATACCCGTAGAGATTACTAAACAATATCTATAATTAATAATATACTTTAATTATTTGAAACAATAGATTGTGTACGCTTGTTCGTTAATCCTACTTATTATTTTTTTGTTCTATTCTTTATATTTGTCAAATGATACTCTATGATACTTAGGGAATTCATCCATGAAATGATACCCATCTTATGTAATAGATTAGAAACAAGTTTGAAAAGTGTTGTTTGTTTGTTATTTTCAAAGAAGAATCTGTGCATCTTATTAGAGACATATATGTATTCACTGACAAACATAACACATGTGTAGGCGTAATATACCTAACTATAACACAAAGTACACACCATAATATTGTATAGTATAGAACATTTAACAACTACATATATCTATAATAATTTCATTATCTCTTGTTTATTTTCAAATAACAATATTAACCGCCAAATTTCTTTTTAAATTTTAAATAATTTCACCTCACACCATAGTGACATGTTTCCAAGATAAGGATTTATTTGTATAGTAATGAAAAACTAAAAAAATGATTTTGTTTGTTTGTTTGTTTGAATAAAATCAATTCAATAATGAAAAATTCATCAGTATTCATTGAAGGATAATATAAAACATAACCACAATGTTTATAATTAGATATTATAAAAGGTGTCAATATTATAAAGGAAAACAATATTCTATCAATGGATTATTTATTTTCATTTTATTCATATATATATTAACAATGAATCATATCAGCGCATTTGGAAATATGGGTTATTGGTGGTAAGTTTATCATTTTAAAATGAAATATATACTTGGAAACTATTGTGGATCGTTTATAACCAACTAGTGAAGAAGAGTCGAGGTTACCTCCTTATTTTGAGTAATGTGCTGCAGCTTCGGAACCCAAAATGCCCATCCGTTTTTGTGACTTAAATCTCTTAGTAGTCGTCACACAAAAGATGTTGCTCAAATCGGAACAAATAAATCTTTAATTAACAGATACGGTGTCTTAACGATGAACCAAACATTGAGGGAAAACTTAATTGTCCTCTTCATATATATATATATATATATATATATATATACCATGTAATTTCTTAGTAATCAATCGCATTATAATTATTCATAGATATGACATAATATCATGGAAAAGTATAATTATTAAACACCGGTAGTTAGACACTGTTATAAGTGCATGTGAATTTGTTTAATAAAGAGTCTTGTTAGGATTAAGGAACTATACACCAATATATCTGTTTATAGTATCAGATGATAAAAATTCAACTTTATTTAAAATTGTCTATTTCTTATAGGTTTCTTAAATATGTTACTGAAAACGGTTAATAACTAGAGATTCTTAGCGCTACCATAAAAAACACTAGATGCCGGCTCAGTGGTCTAATAATTAAGTGCTCGCGCGCGAAACCAGTAGGTCCTAGGTTCTAATCCCGTGGGGTGCGGGATCGTGGATGCGCACTGCTGAGGAGTCCCATACTAGAACGAAATGGCCGTCCAGTGCTTCTAGGTTTTCCATGGTGGTATAGCTTCAATTGACTCATGATTTCGATCTGTGAAATTACTAAATGAATATGTTTTTTGCCAGTTTTTTTATGTTACAACTTAAGGTTTAACGTTTTCTAATATGAAAAATATACTACTGGAAAGGCAATCTAAAGACTTAGTTTCTTTCGTTTGATTTTAATTTGAAAAACACCAAAGTCTATAATATTTAAACAAATGAGGACTTGTTTTTATGGTTAACTACATACAAACTCATACAACATATTTACCAATATTGTTTATTTGATTATGAATTGTTTATTGAAAACGATTTGTTCATCGCGGCGGAAAGAAAACTACCACCTGAAACATTGAAATTGTTATACATCATGTGAAATCAGCTTTCAAGTATACATGTTTTAATGTCATAAAAGCGAAGATTGGTAGATCAAGAGCCACATCCCTGCAACTGAAGAATATAAGGAACTCAAAATAACTGTCAACCAACATCAAAGCCAGAATATTCAATACAAACGTTAAGATAGTTCTACTGTACGGAGCTGAAACGTGGAGAATTACTACAACCATCATCAAACAGGTACTAGTACTTGTAAACTCAAGATATTCAACATCTGTTGATCGGAAACCATCAGCAACATCATACTGTGGGAGAAAATAAACCAGCTTCCAGATGAGGAGGAAATTAGGAAAGTGGATAGGATATACATTACAGAAATAATCAAACTGCATCACAAGGTAAACGCTTAGCTGGAATCTTGAAATCTATCTTTAATTGACTCATGAATTCAACTATTAATTTACTAAAATCTCTACAAAACCCTCTTCTGATTTAGATCATTGTTAATCCCATTTAAACATTCAGCATAATCTTAAATAACTATAATTAACCTGGTATACTCATTTGTAAAATCTATGTAATAATAATAACACCGAGTTAATAATGAATAGTTGATCAAAAAGAAACCTTTCTCAGGTCAATTTTGTTTTCTAACCCCCTAATGGAAATATGTAATTTTTAAAAATTATTATTGGATATTATATGAATAACAGATGTAGAATAACATGGGAGATTGAATAAATCAGATCGATTGTTTGTAGCCGACTGACAAAATTATTGAAGTGATACTAAGAGAGAGAACTGATCAGATACTTAACTGTATACTTTAGTGTATTGATCTTTAAATTAACTATGTGAAAATAACTTGTTCAAATCTATATGCCTTTGAAACTAATTTGTAGTTATAACTGTTACATCCTATCGAATACATATTGTTTGGTCATAATAAACTTTATCCTAAGTGTCGTTTTGATTTCCTTCATAAAGCATATCTTTATTCTTTACTATCTGAGTTGAAAAATAACGATAAATATAAGCCATCAACAGAATGTGATTTGTCGTTAAAAACTGACTGAGAAACTGGAATCACTCAGTGCGATCAGGAATAGTCTGATACGTAAAAAGGATTAAGAAAACTAAATTCTCTCTCATGATGCAAAGTCGTCAAACTACGTGACTAAAACGATTGTCTGATGAAGCCCTAGTAAAGTATTCAAAGAACTTACCTTTGATACATTTGGCTGCAGCTTCGGAACCCAAAATGCCCATCCGTTTCTGTGACTTAAATCCCTTACTAGTCGTCACACAAAAGATGCTGCTCAAATCGGAACAAATAAATCTTTAATTAACAGATAAGGTGTCTTAACGATGAACCAAACATCGAGGGAAAACTTAATTGTCCTCTATTTATCTTTCGGTTGCTTAATGATCACCAATAAACTAAACTGATGATTAATATACAGCCTTTAATTCTTAATGAATAGGCTGGAATCAGCTTGAATTGAAGAGTGATAGCATTTGCCGATAAGTTGATGCCGGAGATTCATGTGGAAGACGATTTAAAATCACTATTTATATAGGATAGCTAAAGTCTTAGGTATTATTCTCTTTGACAATTCTTAATTACTGATCATCTAGTCTATACAAAATCACTGAAGTTGTCTTGTGGCAAGCAATGTAAAAGTAGTTCGATAGATACGGTTTTTAAGGATTTAAACTTCTAAAATCGTCCGAACTTTAACGAATTTGGTAAATCCAGGCAGACTGAAAATATGGTTTAGCATCTATGAACTAATACGCTTCTCTTCATCAGTTCCTTAGACTATGATATACTTACTGACTTCAAAATAGTTTTAATCCTCGACCAATAGTCATTGTTTAACTTCATTGGTCGATCGGTCTTGTGGCGCTTTCTATAATTAAAAAATGTGTCTAGGATCTACATCGACCTAAAAAATAAAACACTTAAATCACACGACATGGAAAAATGTGTGTTTTTGTGCCTGATAATCAGATATGCACGATGAGAGTTCTGTGGCATTCGATTCAATAATATAGAAAAGTTCTATAACTTAAAAATAGTAATTGTTTAAAAATCCTTTTTGACTGATTGTTACCGAATATTTGAAAAAATCTGAGTTTCCCAATAGTTTGTACTAAAATAGAATTGGTCGGGCATTTCTTACAGCAAATCGTCATCTACACTTATTGTGTCGATTGACATTCATCAAAAAGGCTGACACTTCCTGTTTTATCATTACTGTAGTTATTCATTTGAAGGTAACTGTTTCACAGTCTGACTATTCTAGAATTGTGTTCTCACCCAGATATTCCCCTACTGAGTTATAGTGTAAAAATGAAAGTTCTATTTGGTGGATAATCAGAGGAAACCTAAGATTACTTGAAGATTATGAAAGGCAGTACAAGAATATTTAGGATGCAATTCTTACTAGATTTAAATTGACGACTATCAAACATTATTTATAAAGTTAAACGATATGTGTAATTGAAGGATGTGCTTGAACCATTGTTGAAGTAAAATGTAATCGCTAAATGAAGATTAATAATAGTAGATATAAGGTTTCGGGAAAGTTGGCATGTTTATAGATGAAATAGTAGGAATATATATGATTAAAGCTCTTTTGTGAAGAGACTGAAATAGGTCTCAATGAAGCTAATAATTATTTCATACTTTTCATTCTTCAGTTACAGTTTTTCATATCAAATTATATTTGTATTGTCTAATGTTCCACTCATTTACCGAAAAGTTTACTACTTTCCTCTGATTCATTAAAGCGAAGTGTGGAAACTAAGACTAGTCAATCATATTTTCAATTTCTAAACACTGTTTCAATTTGATATCAAAGGGGTTTTCGTGGATATTGCAGTAATTTCAATGGTTGAGATCATGTGTCAGCCGAAGCTAAATCACCATGGAAAACCTAGAAGCATTGGACGGCCGTTTCGTCCTATTGTGGGACTCCTCAGTAGTGTTCATCCACAATCGCACCTCACGAGATTCGAGCCCAGGACCTATCAGTTATGAGCACGAGAGCTTAACCACCAGAACGAATTGCTTTTTTCCTGTGAATCGCTTCTTAATTTCACACATTATCCTATAGGTTACCACGTTTTAGGCTAAATAAATTGTCAATTAACAATTTCTAGTTATTAAGTTTTTGATTGAGATCATGAACCGATTAATGTTAGACCATCACAATTGAAAACCTGGAAGCACTGGACAGCCGTTTCGTCCTATTGTGGGACTCCTCAGCAGTGCGGGATCGTGGATGCGCACTGCTGAGGAGTCCCACAATAGGACGAAACGGCTGTCCAGTACTTCCAGGTTTTCAATTGTGATGGTCTAACATTAATCGGTTCATGATCTCAATCAAAAACGTAATAATCTCCACAACCCCTATACTAGTAATTTCTAGTTAGTTAAGACAGTCCCATTGTACAAATTTGTCAACTTGATTCATTCATACAGTCTTGATAGCTGTAATGTTTATTTTGTAAAATGATTCACTCTTTTTTCTCTTTTTCTTTTCTCTCTCACTCTTTTTAACATACTTCATTGTATACGGACTTTATATAAAAATATCTTCCATATTATTATTAATGTCTTCTTCAACTATGGTAACTTACAAGCGTTTAGCTATGATATCTGTTGAACATTTTCATTCATTCATTCATCATTATGCTTTACGAATAACTTGTTCAATATTAATGTTGCATAGACTAGTATTGATAACAATATAAAGAATTTGCATATGTTTTTCTCATGTGTCATGTACTCAGATGTATTCAATGTGGATTATATTGGTAATTATTAGTTAATATAAGATGGGTTTTGTGGAGATTGTAGTAATTTCAATGGCTGAGGAGTCCCACAATAGGACGAAAAGACCGTCCAGTGCTT